TTGTGTGGATTAACCAGCAGATTTCCCCCGTGTGATAACGTCCCATGTCTATGTGGAGTAGCCCTTTACAGGTTGAGTATTCCTTCTCTGCAATCCCAAAATCCAAAGTATTCCGAAATGCAGGACTTTTTGAGCTGCGGCAACAGTAGCGCAGTACCGTATTTCCTGAAGCTACTGGGCGCTCTCCTTAAAGCTGGGCTCGCAACTTGAAAACAAGAATTAGAAACAAATTAGCATCGTCAGTTATACTTCTTGTTTTTAATAAGAATACAGTATTTAAAATACATAATATATTTGCATTCTTTGAAGAAGAAAGGAGGCAGAGAATGGGAAAGATTTTCCCACAGTTTTAAAGTTGAGAGCTCAGCTTTAAGAAATACCGTACTATGCTACTTTTGCTGTAGCTCAAAATACTTTGGATTTCGGGATTACAGAGAAGGAATATTCGACCTGTAACTCCGCTTGGAAATGGTTGCCTGCGAGATCTGTCCATTTGGGAAGGCAAGATTCTTGCCAGGGAATCATAATGTTGAGAGGGATCCCAAAGGTCATTTAGTCTAACCCCCTGCAGTGTAGAGATCTGCACCTAAACAGAAGCTGGATGGCCATCTGTCACAAGTGCTTTATAGAATCCTAGAGTTCGAAGAGACCTCAAGGGCCATCCAGTCCAACCCCATTCTGCCATGCAGGAACTCTCAATCAAAACACCCCCAACAGATGGCCATCCATTCTCTGTTTAAAGACCTCCAAAGAAGGAGACTCCATTGCTATCCAAAGGAGTGTGTTCCACTGTCGAACCGCCCTTACTGTCAGGAAGTTCCTCCTAATGTTGAGGTGGAATCTCTTTTCTTGCAGCTTGCATCCATTGTTTCGGGTCCTAGTCTCTGGAGCAGCAGAAAACAAGCTTGTTCCCTCCTGGATATGACATCCCTTCAAATATTTAAACAGGGCTATCATATCCCCTCTTAGCCATCTCTTCTCCAGGCTAAGCATATCCATATCCCTAAGTTGTTCCTCATAGGGTTTCATGGTTTCTAGACCCTTCACCATTTTAGTTGCCCTCCTCCAGACACGCTCCAGTGTCTCAACCTCCTTTTTGAATTGTTGAACCCAGAACTGGACACAGTATTATTCCAGGTGGGGCCTGACCAAAGCAAAATACAGTAGCACTATTACTTCCCTTGATCTAGACCAGGGACTGGCAACCTACGGCCCGGGGGCCAGTTAAGGCCCAGGTCCCTGGACTTACCGGGCCAGGCAGAAGGTTGCTGTCGCCGCCGCCCACGGCCGCGCGTTTATGCTGCCATGCGGCCGCGCGTGCTGCAACCGCCATTTTTGAAATCAAAATGGTGGTCGCGATGCGTTTGCGCATGCGCAGTACTCCTGCGCATGCGCAAACGAGTCGCGGCCGCCATTTTGAAAATTAAAATGGTGGCCGCAACTCGTTTGCGCATGCGTAGGAGTACTGTGTATGCGCAAACACGCCACGACTGCCATTTTGATTTCCAAAATGGCGGAGGCGGCGCGCGCGGCTGTGCGGCAGCAGTGGCGGCGGCAGCAGTGTGCATGGGGGTGCACGCGCTTGCGCGCGCGCGCACCACCATCCCCCCTCGGCCCAGCGGCGGGAGGGACTTCGCGGGACAGGCCCCAAGGTAAAAAAAGTTGCCTACCCCTGATCTAGACACTATACTTCTATTGATGCAGCTTAGAATCGCATTAGCCTTTTTAGCTGCAGCATCACACTGTTGACCTGTGTTCACCTTGTGGTCTACTAGGACTCCTAGATCCCTTTCACATGTATAAGTCTTGTTAAGCCAAATGTCCCCCATCTTACATCTATGCATTTCATTTTTTTCTCCCTGTGTGCCATAACCTTACATTTCTCTGTGTTGAAATTCATTTTGTTAGCTTTGGCCATACTTTCTAATCTATTCAGGTCCTTTTGAATTTTCATCTTGTCCTCTGGGGTCTTAGCTATTCCTCCTAATTTGGTGCCATCTGCAAATTTGAGAAGCATGCCCTCTATTTCTTCATCCAATTCATTGATAAAGATGTTGAAGAGCCAACTGGGCCCAGGACAGAACCCCACTGGACACCCCACTGGTCACTTCTCTCCAGGAGAAAGAAGAAAAGGAACCATTGCTGAGCAGCTTTTGGGTTCGGTCAGCTTTGATGGTGTCTTCCTTTTTTTTTTTTTTCCATTTCATTTTTATTCAAAATAATATTTGCAATATTTATATTAAAAAAACCGCTATTGAAATATTATTTTCTATCCCATAGTTCTATTTACAAATTTACATAACTTCCCTTAGTTCGGAACACCATGAGTACATTTTATAAAAACTTCTCTACATTTATTTTCTCCATTTTAACATTCATATTTAAGCCACTCTTGCTGGAACCATATAATATCCTTATTTCTTCCTCTTAATCCTGGTTTATATATTCCATTTTTCTTTAATAAACGCCTCTACTGGAGCCCATTCCTCCTTAATCAAATCTTTATCACCATTTCTCAATAATTTAGTCAACTCATCCATTTCTTTCATTTCTAGTAATTTTAGCAACCATTCCTCTTCCGTTGGCATATTCTGCTGTTTCCATTTTTGAGCAATTACCATTCTCGCCGCTGTAACCATATACATAATGATTCTTCCCAGTTTTTTCTCTATGCCTGGATCCAGTTTACACGTCATATTTAATAAATAAATTTCTGGCTTCAACTCGAAATTAACTTTCAAAATTGATGGTGTCTTCCTGCACGGCAGAAGAAGGTTGGGCTGGATGACCCTTGGGGGTCTCTTCCAACTCTAGGATTCCATGGCACCCTGAGAATTTGAGAGCAAGAATGACATCTCTCCAACCCTCCCCTTCCCAACCTGTGCCTTTCAATCGTTTGACTTACTCTATACTCATTTAGAGTCAAAACACTGACCCCCCAAACCCTGGGTCGACTTATCCACAGGTCAACGTAAGTACTGTACTTTAACTCTTACCATAAAAAAGGAACCCTCTGAGTCGAGTGGTGAAAGGTGAGAGCTTAGTCCATCCCAGGAGAACCTAAAAGAAGCAGTGACCCCTTGGTTCTCTCTGCTGCGGTGCCGCTGCTCGTCTTTTTGAATGCCTGGGTGGGAAAATGGCGGTGGCGAAGGCGGTGGCGATGGCTTTTTGGCGCTTTCCCTCAAAGGAGCACTGAGAGAGTCAAAGGGAGGTCAGGGGGCTGCTTTTAGGTTCTCCCCGGACAAACTAAACGCTCATTTTTCACCTCTCGACTCCAAGAAGGGGGTGCTTCCTTTACGGATAAGCGTTCATCCTGTACGTTAACGCTTGCCTTTGCATCCTTTCCGCCTTGTGCGCATTTTCTTAACCCCTGGCTGCCTCCCGCAAACTTTGCACAACCACCAATTTCCATAGTTCCCTTCCCATCCATCCAGCCTTCCGGATGAACGCAGACAGTTCTGCCTCTCAGAATATTGTACGTTTTTGGGTATCATTTTCCGTTGCTTTGTCCTTTACGTCCTCTGCTACATGACCCTAAGTTTTTCCCTCAATTTATCAGAATCCACTTCAGAATCCATAGTTTTGGACCCCGAAACCTTTGGCTTATAAACGAGTTTAACTTACAATGGGACCTCCACGTTACCTGGGTTTAGGAGCGGAGGACTCTTGCAAATGTGGAAAACCATGAATAATAATAATAATTAATAATAATAAAAAGCACTAATTTTATTGAACCTGAGAGAACACATCAGGACAACTCTATGGTCAACATCTGCCAGATGTTGACCATAGAATTGCACTGGAGGAACTACAAACATCTAGAGAAGGGTTTTCTCTAGAAATCTCTATGGCCAACCTCTGGTCCATAGAGTCACACTGGAAGACGTAGAGTTTCCTGTTGTTGTTGTCATTGTTGTGCTTTTATCCTTTTTAACTGTGTTCTGTCTTTAAACAAATGATGTTTTAATTTTGTGATAGTTTAATTCCATTCTAATTGACACTTTTGCAAGTTATTAATTGTGCTGTGTTTTTAGACTTTAAGCTGCTTTGAATCCCAATTTTTTTTTTTTTTGGGAGGGCGGGCGGAAAGCAGGGTATAAATAAATATAATAATGATAAAATATAACAATAATTATATAATATAATATAATAAAAATATAATGGTTATTATTGTCGTTGTTGTGTGCCTTCAACCCATTTCCAATTTATGGCAGCTCTAAGACTATCGCGGGGTTTTCTTGGCAAGTTTCATCATGGGGGTTTGCCACGGCTATCTTCTGAGGCTGAGAGAGTGTGACTTGCCCAAGGTCACCCACTGGGTTTCATGGCTCAGCAGGGATTCGAACCCTGGTCTACCCAACCCATAGTCCAATGCTCAAACCACTACACTAGAGAGAAGATATTGATCCAACCTGCGAATAACCCAATCTGCAAAAATCAAAGGTGGACGGTCGACTGTACTTCCGTATTTTCACAGCGAGGAAACCAGAAAGCTTCTCCGCGCATTGCAGGGGTTTCAAAGACAGCAACTCTCAAAGTAAAACCCAGAAGAAGAAAAAGCAGAAAGGAGAGAGCCAGCAAAGCACAACGGGGAGCTTTCTATGCTGTGCAAAAACAGCCCTGGCACAAAACCACCAAGCTGCTGTTGCTTTTGTCTTTCCAAGGCCTTCGTTTTCCACTTATCACTTATGTTACTGCAGCATTTCCAAAGGGAGAACAGAGTCCTTTGTTTTCATCAGGACAGAGCTGCTAATTGGCCTCATTACGGGAAAAAAGCATGCAAGGGAAAGAGAAAAAAGAAAGAAAGAAAGAAAGAAAGAAAGAAAGAAAGAAAGAAAGAAAGAAAGAAAGATGAAGAAAAGGAGCAGGAGATGAATTTTCTCTCCATTTCAGGCGAATGCTCGAAAATTGCCTAGTTTTTGAGGAATCTTCCCAGTTTGAGACTTTCTCAGCTTTCTTTGAAAATGTGAAAATCAATTGATTTGAACCCCTGCTGTTTCTTTACTGCTCTACTGTGATTCTAGTTTGATTGAACATTGTTAATTGGCTTCCAATTGCCATCAATAGTCTCATTAATTGA